TTCTGCATCACATTGTTCCTCACCGCCGGAACAACATTCTTGTTTGGCCCTCAGTACACAGTGTGCGAACACCCATACATGTGGTCTCTGAATTGTTTTGTCTTGCATCGGCCGGTCGCAGCCCACGTTGCGCTGTTGGTCTCTGCCCTGCGTTGCCGTCGGGGCCCGTACGGGTCATCTCCGTTGAAGGACCGCCTATCACCGCTGCCATCCTTACGCACCGCGGCTGTCATCCTATAGCTGTCATCCGAGTCGGATGCGCGGGTGCTTCGCGAGCAGGATATACGACATAAGAATATGACATTAGAGCATCGAGAGATACAAACTACGATCCGCCGCCCCGCAGCACGCTGGCGGAGGGCGATCCTGCGCGACTGCCGTCCACTGTGCATCCGCCATGGCGTCCTTGACAGCGTCGCAGGACGGGCGCACGGGACGACGCGTCACGGCTGTCGGATCGGAAGCCTGCGCAATACGATACTTCTCTCCGCGCGCGCGCTCGCTTGAGGCCGGCTTGGCAACGCGGATGTGTCGTGCCTGCGCAACGGGAGAATGCACACGAGAGATGAGAATCAAAACACGTACACGTCCGCTTCCGCTTGTGCAGCGGGCGCCGAGCCCGTGGGCTGTCAAGCAACGCGAAAGGAACGGTCTGACGTGAGCAACGGACATGGAGGAGCGAGGGAACAAGGACGCACGGGCACGGCACGTCGGCTGCACGCCAGCAGGCCCGTGCGCGCAGATGGACGGAGGATAAAGGCGTCAAGCTGTGGCGTTTCGCCCTCGTCTCATCCGTCCTGGGTCCCGCGTTCGTGTCCGTCCGTCCGGCTGTCATCGTGCTTGCCCGCTGTCGTGCTGCGCTCCGATCACACTGTCCAAGCGGGTGCCTACCCCACACGGTGCGTCTCGCATGTACTCGCCAGGCGCCGCATGGCTGACCCTTACCGTAGCCAAAATGCATTTGACGGCGTGCAGTGTCACCGCAAGATGTGTCGCAAACGTGGTAAGTTGCTATGCCCGTCTTCCCGATATGTGTGCGCGACTGACTCGGATATTTGATGCGCATGCCGGCGGACCACGTTCTGTACACCAGCGGCAGTCGATTGCTGCGATGGCGGAAGCGGCAGCAACAGTGAGGCCTGTCAGCGGCGCATACTAACGGTGAGTCGTCCGGATGTCTGTGAGTAGGCGCTGTGTGAGACTGCGTGTCTGTCTTAGGTCCGGAGCGGGAGCGTCGTATGCGCCTAGATGGCCACGCACTCATTCGCATCAGCGCCGGTGTCCAGGTCCATATCCGCGCTCACCTTGGCAATTGAAAGTTCACACCGGTGACCGGCTCGCCGCCTCTTACCTACACGGTGCGTCTCGCGTGTACTCACCAGGCGACACGATGCTGATGCTTACTGTAACCAAAAGTGTGTGACGGCGTGCGGTGTCGCCCCGAGATGTGTCGCGGACACGGTATGTACTCGTGCCCGTCTTCCCGAGGCGTGCTTGCGACTGATTGTGATCTTTGATGCATGCTGGCGGACCATACCCGCAGCAATCGATGGTGGTGGTGACGGCGGCGGCGGCGGCGGCGGCGGCGGCGGCGGCGGCAACGTTCACGCGGCTTATGAGCAGCGCATACGACCGGCGAGTCGTCCGGATGTCTGCGAAGGTACGCGCTGTTGAGTCGTCCGCATATTTGCGTGGGTACGTGCAGTCTGAGACTGCGTGTCCGTCGTAGGCCGCCGTGCGCACCTGAAAGATCATTCCGCGCTCGTTCGCATCAGCGCTGGTGTCCGAGTCCACGTCCGCGCTCACCTCGTCAATTGAAAGTTCGCGCCGCTGACCGCCGCGCCGCCTCTCGACATCAGCACAATCGCACGACAGCAAGTTTACATACCGAGGAATGGGACCGTCGGAGCGGGGATCCAGGCATAGCGTACGGTAGTGACGGTCGGGTGGCGGCGGGCAGGCGTCGTTGGGACTGGGCGGTGCGCGCAAGAGATGGGGCAGCCGCGCGATCATGACGTTGAATGCGGGCCCCGATGAGCGTTGTGCAGCGACGTCGCGCGTGGCGGAGGAGCCGCGCGTAGATGTTTGTGACAGGCTCCGCGATGAGACGCAGAAGGCGTGCGTGAATAAGCGGGGGGATACAACAGCGGCTGTGCTGCGGCCGGGTGAGGAGCGTGTGAGCAAAGCGAGACAAGCGCGTGAGCAAAGCGGGAGGAGCGCGTGAGACATTGCTATGGATGAAGACGGCGGCAGCATGGAGTTAGTCACGCACACGCAGCACAGGTGGTCGCCTAGACGGAGAGACGCGGTGGGACAAGAGGCCGAGCCAGGCAGGCAGAAGCAGCGCGCGCGCGAGACGAGCGAGTGTGAGCAGCCGCGGATCACGCACCGCGCAAGAGCTGGCATGCGGCGTCGAGACAGACACCGGAACGCTTGCCCAGCACTCCCGCAGCACATCCTCGGCGCGCGAGACTGGTGATCCTCATGGGCGGGGTCA